AACAATATTGAAATTAAGCCAACTAATAACCCTACAATGGCCTCTAAGGGTTCAAGTAAACGGAAAAGTTGCACATCTTTAACTTTAAATAAATAGCTAGAAATGACTGTGCTTAGTGAGGAAAGTATGTTGAAAGCCAATTCAGGGAGGCCAGGCCTCTTGGCACCAAACAGCCATGTTGTGAATGAGAAGTGAAAGTGCTTGGAGGAAATTTAAAGTGCTACTCCAGTGAACATACAAATTACAATTAGGCAAGCCAGCCTCAATGTTGATATGAAGAAAGTTTTAGTGGTCTGAATAAATCAAACCAGCTATCACATTTCTTTCTTTTTTTTTTTTTTGGAGACGGAGTTTCGCTCTTGTTACCCAGGCTGGAGTGCAATGGCGCGATCTCGGTTCACCGCAACCTCCGCCTCCTGGGTTCAGGCAATTCTCCTGCTTCAGCCTCCTGAGTAGCTGGGATTACAGGCACACGCCACCATGCCCAGCTAATTTTTTGTATTTTTAGTACAGACGGGGTTTCACCATGTTGACCAGGATGGTCTCGATCTCTTGACCTTGTGATCCGCCCGCCTCGGCCTCCCAAAGTGCTGGGATTACAGGCTTGAGCCACCGCGCCCGGCCAGCTATCACATTTCTTAAGCCAAAACCTAATCCAGAGCAAGGCCCTAACACTCTTAGGTCTATCAAAGCTGAAAGAGGTGAGAAAGTTGCTCAAAGAAAGCCAGAAGATAGCAGTGGTTCATTCATGAGATTTAAGGAAAGAAGCCATCTCCATAACATAAAAGTGTAATGTAAGGCAGCAAGTGCTGATGTAGAAACTGTAGCAAGTAATCCAGAAGAGCCAGCTTAGATCACTGATGAGAGTGGCTACACCAAACAACAGATTTTCAATGTAGATGAAACAACATCTATTGGAAGAAGATGCCATCTAAGTAAGACTTTCATAGCTAGAGAGAAGTCCATGCCTGTTTTCAAACCTTCAAGGACACGATGACTCTTCTTGTTAGGAGTTAATGTAGCTAGTGACTTGAAGTTGAAGCCAGTGCTCATTTACCATTCCAAAAATCCTAGAACCCTGACAAATTATGCTAAATCTGCTCTGCCTGTGCTCTACAAATGGAACAACAATGCCTGGCTGGCAGCACATCTTTTTTACAACATGGTTTACTGAATATTTTAAGTCCACTGTAGAGATCTATTGCAAAAAAAGAAAAAAAAAAGTTTTCTTTCAAAATAGTATTGGTCATTGACAATGCATCTGGTCACCAAAGGGCTATGTTGGTGCTGTACAAGAAGATTATTGTTGTTTTCATGACTGCTAATACAACGTCTATTCTACAGCCCAAAGATCAAGCAGTCATTTTGATTTTTAGGTGTTGCTATTTAAAAAATACATTTCATAAGGCTAGAGCTACCATAGATAGTGATTCCTCTGATGAAACAGGGCAAAGTACATAGAAAACCTTCTGAAAGAGATTTACCATTCTAGATACCATTAAGAACATTTGTGACTGGGAGGAGGTCAAAATATCAACATTCACAGAAGTTTGGAAGAAGCTAATTCCAACCCTCATGGACGAATTTGAAACGTTTGTGATTTCTGTGGAGAAAGTATCCACAGATGCAGTAGAAAAAGAAAAATAACTAGAATTAGAAGCAGAGTTTGATGTGACTGAATTGCTCCAATCTCATGATAAAACCTGAATGAGTGAAGAGCTGCTTCTTATGGCTGGGCAAAGAAAGTGGTTGTTTGAATAGGAATCTACTCATGGTGAAGACTCTAAATATTGTTGAAATGACAACAAAGGATTTAAAATAGTGCATAAACTTAGTTGATTAAAGCAGAGACAGGGTTTGAGAGAAGTGACTTCAATTTTCAAAGAAATTCTACTCTGGGTAAAATGCTATTAAACAGCATTGCATGATATAAAGAAATCCTTTGTGAAAGGGATTTAAATCAGTGCAGCAAACTTCATTGCTGTCTTATTTTAAGAAATTGCCATAGACTCCCAACATTCAGAAACTACCATTCTCATCAGTCAGCAACCTGACCCTGATGAGTCAGCACCTATCAACATTGAGGCAAGAGCTTCCTCAAGAAATATGACTGTGAATCTAGTGGGCATGGTGGTGCGGGCTTGTAGTACCAGCAACTCAGGAGGCTGAAGCAAGAGGATTGCTTGACCCCAGGAGTTTGAGGCTGTAGTATACTATAATTACATCTGTGATTAGCCACTGTACTCAATCCTGGAGAACACAGCAAGACTCCATTGCTTAAAAAAACAAAAACAAAAATAAAAATAAATTTAAAACTTGCAACTTGCAAAGGCTTAGATGATCATTAGCAATTTTTAGCAACAAAGCACTTTTTAATTAAGATATGTGCATTGCTTTTGCAGACATAACACTATTGCATACTTAATAGACCACACTATAGTGGAACATAACTTGCGTGTTTTGGGAATCCAAAAAATTTGTGTGACTCACTTTACTGCGATATTTACTTTATGTGGTGGCCTGAAACAGAACCTGAAATATCTCTGAGGTATGTGTGTATTATTAACTTGGTAAAGTAATTGTAAGTGTCTTATGCTGGTACCCCTCTAGGCATTCCTTTTTTTTTCTTTTTCTTTTTTTTTTTTTTTTTTTTTGAGATAGCGTCTTGCTCTGTCGCCAGACTGGAGTGCAGTGGCGCAATCTTGGCTCACTGCAACCTCCACCTCCCGGGTTCAAGCGATTCTTCTGCCTCAGCCTCCTGAGTAGTTGGGACCACAGGCATGTGCCACCACACCAGACTAATTTTTCTATTTTTAGTAGAGATGGGGTTTCACCATGTTGGCTAGCATGGTCTCGATCTCTTGACCTCATGATCCGCCCGCCTTAGCCTCCCAAAGTGTCGGGGTTACAGGCATGAGCCACCGCGCCCCACCCTCTCTAAGCATTTTTATAATCCTTAAGCCAGTTCCATGTGGTAGGTTCTATTTTCACAGATAAGGAGACTGAGTCATAAGAGACATTAAGCAATTAGTCCAAAATTGCACAACTAGAAAGCTGAGATACTTGACTTTGCATCCAGGCAGTCTCATGCTTAACCCCTGTACTATATAATCTCTGTGGTCTCTTTGAGCTCTGAATCCTATGGCTCCCCCATGAACTTGGATGTTTTATATTCAGCAATATGTAGAAAGACTGTTCTAACATCAAGTACTTTTCTGCCTTATTACAGAATAGCACTCTTTTTCATCACTTACATTTCTGCCTTTCAATCACAGATCCTTTGTCTCTCAAGGCCTTAGAGTTAGAAGACAGGTTTCTACTTCACTTCTAATTTTATTAACAATAAATTATTCCTATTGCCAGGGTTCACCTTAAATCCCTAAATCAACTAGTTAAAACAGAGGCACATCTGAAAACCTCTAGATTAAAAGAAGAAAGATAAAGTGTACAGAGACATAAATATCTTACTCTTTTGTAAAAATGGAGGAGTATATACAGCTTGCACTTTCATTTGGGTTATGCTATATTGTTTGTCCTCAACAAGAAAAGTATAATGCGGGACAGGCCTGGTGGCTCATGCCTGCAATCCCAGCACTTTGGGAGGCATAGGCAAGAGGATTGAGTAACGCCAGGAGTTCAAGACAAGACTGGGCAGCATAGCGTGACCTCTTCACCACCACCACCAGCAACAAAAAAAATTTTTAATTAAAAATTACCCAGAGTGATGTTGCACGCCCGTAGATCTAACTACTTAGGAGGCTGAGATGGGAGGACTGCTTGAGCCCAGGAGTTCTGAGGCTTCAGTGAGCTATGATTAGCTATTGCACTGCACCTCCAGCCTGGGTGACAGAGCTGAGACCCTGTCAAAAAAAAAAAAAAAAAGCCTCAATGCCTCAATGGTGTAAATTATTTTACCTAAAAGATGTGTCTATATAGTTCTATATAGACCAAGGAAGCAAATCAATGCGATATAAAGTTTTCAGAATGTTAAATAATGTACAATTTAAAAGAATCCTCTATATTACTATACACTAGAAAGAATATGGTTACAAAAAGCATTTCCATGAAGGCTGTGATTGAGTTCCGTGTTCCCATAAAAACACTTAGAGAAGCCTAACTGAAGATTTCTAGAACTGACTGACACCTGATTTCAGCTATAAACACATAGTAAGCCGGGCGGGGTGGCTCAAGCCTGTAATCCCAGCACTTTGGGAGGCTGAGGCGGGTGGATCACGAGGTCAAGCGATCGAGACCATCCTGGTCAACATGGTGAAACCCCGTCTCTACTAAAGATACAAAAAAATTAGCTGGGCATGGTGGCACGTGCCTGTAATCCCAGCTACTCAGGAGGCTGAGGCAGGAGAATTGCTTGAACCCAGGAGGCGGAGGTTGCGGTGAGCCGAGATCGTGCCATTGCACTCCAGCCTGGGTAACAAGAGCGAAACTCTGTCTCAAAAACAAACAAACAAAAAAAAAACACATAGTAAGCCAGCCTAGTTAGGCAGAGATTCATTGCACGCCAAGGAGATACCAACGGGACTGTGTGCTCTTGCTTTATGAATCCCGCGAAAATAAATCTTGTCCTCCGTGTAACAAGACTTTAACTTGCAGTAATATCCTTTCACCACTTAGTATTTTCCGAGCGCCTACCATACACCAGGCTCAGATACCGCACAGAACACCGTCCCTATTCCCAAGAATCCTTACACTGATGGGAGACACCTTTGCATGTCCCACTGCCCAATTATCAAAAAAAAAGAGAATCACATAACCGAAACCTGGAAATCTGCCTTGGGCACACAGAAGGGCAGGCGCAACCTCCGACCAGCTCCCAGGCAAAATTCACCGAGCGCCTGACAGCGACAAAGGAACCGGCCGCACCTGTGCCTGCAGTCGCGTTGCTCCGAGCGGCGCAAGACTGTGACGTGCCAGACCGCGCCCCTGCCCTTCAAAGCGCCCCCGCCTCCTTCCGCGAAGTGCGCAGGCTCCTCGACCGGTTCGGGTTCTGCTGGGGGACGCAGCCCAGCTGGCAGCGTCGCTCCCTGAGCGCTCCTGAGGTGGCCGCTGGGCCTTGTCTTTCGGCAGTGGTCGAGCCGCCACCGCCGCCCGTTCCAGAACTGAGCGCTGCAGCCGCAGTCCCGATCGCCTTGTTTGGTCGACAGGATCCCCGGAGTGCCCAGAGAGTGCGACCGCTCGCCCTGCCCGGCGAGCCCCGGGCGTGAATCGAGCTGAGGGAGGATGGCAGCCTCTGGGGTGGAGAAGAGCAGCAAGAAGAAGACCGAGAAGAAACTTGCTGCTCGGGAAGAAGCTAAATTGTTGGCGGGTTTCATGGGCGTCATGAATAACATGCGGAAACAGGTACCGCCTCTGTGGGAGTGACGAACGACGGTGGGAGGTGGTCCGGGGCTCCGACCCCCTGACTCCCGAGACCGAACCCCGCGCCCTGTGGATCGCGCCCCTCTTCCTCTGTTCTCGCCCCCTCCTTCCATTTTCGCGGCGAGGGAGTCCGCAGTTGGTGGAGGGGCGCGTCAGACAATTCTCGAGCCGAAGTGGCTCCTGGTCTGTCGAGGATGTCGCTCCCAAGTCAGACTCCTGGGGGCCTCCTCGGGCTGCCTTTCGCCGTCGGGTATGGGTTGTGTAACAGCTCTGCCCTAGCTATCTCTTTGTGAGGCGAGGATCCTTCCACGGGCGAGTCGTTTTAAGGTGTCGTGAGATCTTGTGTAAAGAAGCCCATTGGCAAAGCCCGGGAAGGGAGGAGAGTCGCTGGCCTTAAATCAGCCGCTCTTAATTGAGGATCCCAGCCCCCTCCTGTGTTCCCCGGTGGAGCTCGTTGAAGACGAGTCCTCCTGTACGTGTTAATTTAGAGCAGAAGCAGCTATCCATAAATACCGTGCCATCTTCTAAGGGCACTGTGGGCCTCTTTTTATGAAGAAGAGCTCTCTGTTCTGTCTTTGATGTGTGGTGCATTCATGAAAGTCTGCAGCACATCGGCGAAAGGTGGGTTATGAAAAGAACGGATTTTAACGCTGGCGAAGGTGAACTAAAGAGGCTTTTTTTTTTTTTAATTCCGTAAATCTACTGTACCAATAAGCATGAAAAGTCACTTTTTTTTCTTTTCTGTAAGATTTATTTATAGATAAGACACAACTAAGGAGATTTATGGGAATGTCTGGATTTTGTTGACTGGGATCCTGTTTGAAGAGGACAAAGCAGGATGTGAGTTTGTGTAACTGCAAAACCTAGTTTGCTTTGTCTAGTGGTTCTGCTGGGAATATGGACAACAGTAGAGGAATTTAAGATTTTTATGAAGTTATTAGCTTTTGGTTTGTATTAGCAAACGCTGACTGCAGGGATCTTGTCTTTGTTCGCCAGCTCTTGCTACAGTGCACCAGTGCACTCTATAGAAATGCTTTTAAATCTTTCCTGGCCTTTGTGCTGAAGTACTGTGAATGTCTGAATTCTTTAATTTCTGTAACTTACTTTCATGTATCTATTTTCAAATTCATGTTCCTTTCTTGTAAACCTTTTTTTAGTCTACAATACCACAAACTTCAAATTGCTGGTTCATTTGGCTATTGTCTGCCTGTAATGGTAGTGGAACATAGTTTAGCAGTGCTCAAACTTGTTGAAGACTCATTAGATTCCCTCCCACTCCCTCAAATAGATGTTTTCATTTGCAGATCATAGCATTGTAAAGCATTGCCTCAATCCCTAAATAGATAGGATTGCAGCAGCAAATATTTACTTGAGGAGGAGAGGATTGTCTGAGACTGTCTACTTAGATCTTCGGATTTAAAAATTGACTCACATTTCTTAGCTTTGGAGTATATTAACATCATTTATTTACTGTTAAAATAGAAACACGGTTACCGAAAAATCAGGATTCTGTTACTGAGTAGGAAGGAAAAAGTAGTTACTTGGTAAATAACCAGGGATCTCCTCCGCAGTGATTAACTGACCTTAATCTGCCAGGTTCTCTTTTTGTCAGTGGTTTCGTTTGTGATTCAAACAGTTCTCCAATAGCACTTTATCAACTTCATGGAATCATGCATCTTGTGCAGTTTCACTTTGTAATTGACTTACATTATAGTTATATTGTATTGTACTGTTTAACATCATAACACAGGAAAGAATTCACCAAGAATGACTGACAAGGGCAGTTGACGGGAATTGGCAGAAACAGTGGCTGGTCTGAGCCAGAGGAGGAATGCCTAAGTGAGGACTAACTTTATACGTGTTCTTGTTCTTTATTTATTTTTAATTTTTTTTAACTGCTCTTGTTCTTTAGTAAATGTTTTTGTTTTATGACAACTTTTGCATCCCTTTACAATCTCACTGCTTTAAGGATCAGAATAATGAGTACTTAGATGACAAGGACCCCTCTGTATACATACAGAAACATTCTTTCAAGAATTTGAGAACACTGTGAGATTAGCATACCTCACTTCCAATCCCTGCTCTCTCATTATTTCATTTAGTTATTTTAGATAACGTGATATAGGTCATTTCATCTGTCTGTAGCATAGTGGCCAATTCTCTACATAGAGGCAAAGGGGATCCTGCAGAACCAGCAGCCTCTGCTTCTTCTAAAGCCTTTTGCCTGCATAGTTTTTGTCATTTCTAGCCTTTTGTTTTTAAACTCTCCAATGAAGTATGGGATATATATAAGAGGGAACAAGTCATAAATGTACAGCTCAATTATTTCAGAGTGCACATCCCACCAACAAGACTAGGACATGATCAGTACAACAGAGGACCCCCTGCTCAGTCACCAACCCCGCAGTGGTAACAATTATTTTAACTTCTGTAACCATAGATTTGTTTTTCCTGTTTTTGAACTGACATAAATGTAATCATATGGCATAAACTCTTGTGTTTTGATTTCTTAAAGCCAACATTGTTTGTGAGATTCATCTGCACTGTGTGTAGCACTACTTCATCTTTGTGATATATAGTATCCCATTGTATGAATATATCACAATTTATCCATTCTATCATTATGGACATTTGGGTTATTTCTAGTTTGGGACTTTTAAGACTAGTACTACTTTGAACATTTTTGTACACTTGTACCTACCTCTTGGTATTCATATGTATTAATATTTGTGTTGGAAAATAACCAAATGGGAATTTTTGAATCATAAGCTATACCACATTCAGCTTTAAAAGATATTGTTATGTAGTTTTCCAAAGTGATTGTATCACGTTACATTTCTGCCAGCTGTGTGTGACAGAGGCTTTTACTTCGCATTCTTGCCATCACTTGATGATGTCCGTTTTATCACTTTAGCCATTATAACTGGGCGTATAGGAGCATTTTATTTAATTGAGTTGAATGCCTTTTCATTTCTTTCTTTAACTTTTTGTTTAGATTAATGTTATTACATGATGTGTGAAATAGAGGATTTACAAGGCAGGCTGGGCCACAATTGCTATTGCACGTGCACATTGCTGTTGCCATACTCTTCTTTTGTGTTAATGAAGTGCAGGAGTCCCTTCACATTGGAGGCAGATGTTTTAAAAGCTTCCTGAGTACACCATAGTTTGTAGTTTCCCCACATTAAATGTATTAAAACATAATTGGAACTTGGAAGCTTATGTTAAAGTCCTTATTGAGAGTTATGTGAGAGAACCACAAAGCTGATTTGACGATTAGATACTGGGCAGTTAACTGGGCTCACTTGCCAGCTAAAATGACTTTGCTTCTGTATTCTCATCTGTCTGACATGTCTGACTGTAAATTACTACATGTCATATTTAGGTTCTCTTATGAATAATCTAAACCTTCAGTGTTAAACCCTTGTTAATAATAAGACTTCTTGAGCACTTGTAACTGTGTTTCAGTCACTCTGCAGAGTGTTTTACGTGCTTTGTCTCATTTAATTCTCTTCCATTGACAACTCCAGTCATCCAAACCTTCCTATTGTTTTTCCTGTACTTTACTCTTCTCTATTTTCTTTTTCTGTCTGTCCAACTTAGAAGCTATTGTCACTCCACTGTCTCTCCAGTGCCCCAGCTTTCTTGATCCTCTGTCCCTTTTTCCTGTCCATTTGGCAAACTTCAATATTGATGACTGTTTACCTTCTTTGTGCAAGGTTCCAAGCACAGCTGGAAAATCTCTTATTAGTGGGCAACTTCTGCCAAGTAAGTACTTGGCCACTAATTTCAACTAGATTATCAGTCCCGGTGAGCAATCTTACTTTTTGTTTTACTATTTTCCTCCAGTTTGAGTCCTTTCTCTAGATTCTTACTTTCAGCAGATCACTCCTCTTTTGACATTTTAGATAAATAGAAGTAATTAGAACTATCTATCTTTTCACTTTCTACCACCAGATCTGTAAACTATTTTGACACTTTGCCTTTTCTCTTCTTATCCTGCGACAATGGAGATGCTTCTTCTTTTTCTAAGGCCAGTATTTCTACCTAGGCTTTGACTTCCTGGATGCCAGACTTCTTAGAAGTATTATACTGTTGGTTATTCCATCTTTGTTGAGAATCTTTTAACTTTTCTTCTTTGCTGGATTCTTGCTATTAGCATTTAAGCTTGTTTTAGCCTCTCCAGCTTTTGAACCAACCAACCAGCAAACCCATTCTTAATTTCAACATATCCCTCTAAATACTTCTCTCCCCCCATTAAAATCAAAAGTTAGGTAAATTCACTACATTTTCTTATTATCTGTTTATTCCCTTAGTTCAGTTTGGCTTCCAAGCTCATTCATTGAAATGAATACTTATTGAGAACCCACCGTATGCTAAACATTTTGCTAGATACTGGGGTTGCAATGATAAGCAAACCCTGATAATCTCTATCCTCATGTGATTTATAGTCTAGTAGAAAAGCAGCACATTAGTCAAGTAATCACATAAATAAAGGTAACATTGCAACAGTGGTAGGTATTACACAGAGTATGATATGGTACAACAAGGGCATGTGTGTGGGTAATTTGACCATCAGGAAGTTTTCTCTAAGGAAGTGGTCGTTGAAAGCTGAAATAAGAGCAGGTGTTAATTAAGTAGAGAGAAAAGGGAAGAGTATTAAGTAGGTAGAGAGAAAAGGGAAGAGTATCTCAAGTAGAGAGAACAACATATTCAGAGGCTCTGAGTTGCAGACTTTATTATAGAATGGCAAGTTTGAGGCTGATTAAAGGTCAGTGTAACTGGAGCACAGAACATAAAGAGGATGATGGTTCATGATGAAACTGGCGAAGTAGCTAGGGAGCTTCCCATGCATAGCTTCATAAGTCCTTAGGAGATTTTGCCTTTATTCTAAAATCTGTGTGTGCATGCATGTTTGTAGAGGTGGGGTGTTTTTCTCTTTAATAAAGGTTACTAGGCCTGGCTCAGTGGTTCACACCTGT